GCCAGCCGGGCAGTCAAAGTGGAAGTGACCGCCGGAGCTTGAGTCAGAGCCGGGGATAAACCTCCGTGTGCGAAGGTCGCAGCGGCCATGCCTGGGCTAAACTGCCTGCTCGCTAATAGAAATGAGACCGCTACGAAATGCTGCGGACACTCGGTAACACTCACCTGTGAAGACAAAGTGCACTTGTAGGATCTCATGTGAGCACAAGTGTATCTCAGTTTCCGGGATATACTGATACTGAAGCTCGCCTGTTTTTTTAATACTAAGCATTATTTGTTCATTGTTAGCATCATGTAGCAAGTGTTCAATAAATAAAAATGTCACACAGGTATATCTGAGGCAATATCTGGGACACACTTATGCCAAAATAAATGTTTTGCATTTTCATACCTTGGAAGAATAATTTTTATTAATATTATCCAGGAAATAATTAGTTGTAACAAAAAATAAGTATTGTTTCCTGATTAACAAGACAGGAGTGGTTATTTTATTTATTTGAACATATGACAATTTTAGCATGGGTATTTCCATGAAATTTCAGGGATATGCTTAAACCAAAACTAAAAGCATTGAGATATGTGTATATATATATGTATGTATATATATTTAAGATTTATGTTATTTATTTATGTACATAAGACCTGGGGGGGTTAGGCCAGAGATGTGGGGGGTGCGGCTGAGAGGCTTCCCCAGAGACAGCAGGGGCTGAACAGGCAGATCCACTGAAACCCACGCTGAGGGGGCAGTGGGGGCCAGGCGGGGTCCCCCTTCTCCCTGCTGCGCCCTGGGGGTCCCTCCCTGGCCGGGGATCAGGGATTGAACTTGTGCTGAGGCCGCTGCGGCCAACTTCCTAGTGCTGCGCTTTAAGCCATTGCACCACCAGGGAGGACCCTCTTTTATCTTATTATTAAGGCAGTTTTTTCGCTATGTAAGGGATAAAAATATGGGCCACTTCACAGATTTGGCCTCATCCTTGTGGGGGCCATGCTGACTTTCTGGGTGGCATCCCAGTTTTAGAGCCACCGTGAGCACAAGCGTTATTCAGCGCCACCTAGTGGAGACAGTTTGTTAATGTTAAGATGATGTATTTTTAATCAGTGGATATATTTATTAGTGAGCATTAATATTAATAACACTTGCTATTTTAATAATATTTGCTATGATTTAGTAGATATTTTAATAAAGAACAAATGTTACTGATATTTAACAAGTACTATTTTTACTATTTTTATTTTAAATAAAT